GACCTGAACGTGTTTTGTGAGAGCCTATCCTCGAGGTGGTTTCCCGAACTCGAGAAGCGGTAGCAACGGCCTTTCTACCGCGAGATCGCTGACTCGCAGCGTTCTTAGGACCGGGTGGTTTGGGAGCCTTCGCAGGACGAGGCGCTGCCTTCTTTGGCGGTCGGACACGGGGCTTCTTGCTGACCGATGCTTGAGGCTCGTCCTCTTCTTCTGCCTCCAGAGGCAACTGTTTTCGTTTCTGGCTAGCGGCTGCAAGTGGCCCTGCCTTTCGGATTCGGATTTGCTTGGACGGACGTGCGACGTCTTCTTCGGAATCATCGTCATCGAGCTCTTCCACCCTGCGTTTCTGCGAGGGACCAGGCTTTGGGGCTTGCTTGCTCTCGTCGGGCCCCTCGGCCCTCGACTGGTGGAGAGAGAGAGCGATGGCTTTATTTTGCTTCACACTTGTCCGATCAAGCATCTTGAAAACACGGGGTCCATCATTCGCTTCGTCCGGCCAGCCCTCCGAGTCCAGAGCTTCCTGGATTGTGAACACGACTCGGTCGTGAGTGAGCAGGTCCAGCTCGTGTTGGGCATATCTTGACCTGTCAGGGCGGTAGTGACTGAGGACCAGATCGCCGAGCCGACGGAGACAAACCGTCAAAGGAGCATTGCCGATGATCTCCAAGGTTTTGAGGATGGTTTCCAGAAAGTCCTTTCGGATCGCAAAGATATTTTCAATGTTGTCATATAACCTCGGCAGTTGTTCGGCCCCAGCAATTTTCTTTCCGCCCTTGGTGTAGTAGCAGCTGGTGTGCCGGAGGACAACAAATAACACGACCCAGAAGAATGATTCAAGATCGTGCCAATCGGCATGTTTACTCTCTTCGTTCTCGAGACGATCCAAAGACGTGAATGGAAGCGTGCCCTTCAGACGATAATTCAGTAAGGGAATAAACAAACCGAAGCTCAAACGTACCGTCAGAAACCGTAGCTCTTTCTCTATATCTGGCATGCTACCTACCGCAGCTAGTTCGGGATCGATGAGGAAGCCCATGGCGCCTCCTTCGGCAATGTCGTCGGCACTTATCATAATGTTGTTGACACTGATGTCCCGGTGGAGTACATCTTTGAGGCACATATTCTGATGACCTAGCAAAGGATCAGTAATTGTGTACGAGAAGTATAGACTATCGCTACCTTTCACGGCGTCTCGGACAGCCATCATTAACACTTTCGTCGACTTGAAACGCGTGATAGGAATCCCGACCGACTCAAGGATACAGCGATGATGAATACGCTCTGCATGAACGGACTTGCCCTTCTGCGCGTTTATTCGCTCACCCGCCGTGTAGTGTACTCCCACGGGGTCCTGGTCACCGACATCGAACTCGTCCTCAAAGCGAGCAATGCCAAATACTGGGACCTCTTCATCGCCTCGGATTGCGTCGTATATACGCCCCTCGGTCCATCTATCCTTCTCTCGCCAACTGTCCTTGATGATAAAGAGGCGGCCACTCGAACGTCCCGCGCGATCCAAACGTTCGAGTTTCGTAGCCACCCATACCCTTGTACCGCGACCCTTGATGGATCTGCTGGAGAACAACGGTCGTCCAAGTGTGATGTAGATCTCGCCGCCACGCTGACCTCTCCGACGTCGGCCTTGTATGCGAGTACTTTCGCTAATCAGATCCGCCCCTCTACGCGCAGCCTCGTATTCATCAAAAATACCGAGAGCCTTCGCTCGCTCGAATTGGGCTTCCAGTAGTTTCTTCTCAACCTCGGAGGTGACGGGCATGTGCGCGGTTGTGTCTATCCCGCTATTGCCAAATCGCGCCAGACCAGTAAGAAAGTAAGCCAGGTGCGCGGGCTCCTCCTTGTAGTCGAAAGAGTCCGAGACTATGACAGATGACCTATCCCATCGGAAAAGGCGTGCCTTGCCACCAAAGATGCCAATAGCCAGGAGAAAGCAGCGGGGGATAGTACGAAATGCGATGGTGGCATATTCGCTCAGTTGCTTCCAAGTTTCGGTCTGCGCCTCCGTCATACTTGGGGGCTCCCCTGCATACTCCGCTTGACCATAGAAAGGATCTTCATTTTCCTCGGTTTTGACCTCTACGAAGCCCAGACCTCGCGCCCAGTAATCGTCCGATGTACCATGAGGAAATACCACTAGATCTGGGGCTCCTCGTATGCCACCTTTCACCTCCTCTGGTCGTTTCTCCGCGCATATGTGGAACGCCACTGGCAATGGTCGTCCAGGTATGATCGTCCGGGAGATGTTGTTGAGGGACGCGACCTGAACTAAAGATAAGCAATTATCACAAAAGAGAGAGATTTCACCTACTAATGGTTCATACATCTCTCGTTCGGAGAACCCAGTCGAAAGTGTCGTGCTCGGTTTCACGGCTTGGAGCCAGGTCTTGAACCGTTTCATTGTATTTGGCGCAATCGATGTGAGCCTCATTCTCGGGAAACATTCTCTGCGAAGGAAATCTGCGATATTCACTGGCCCATAGCATAGTCCACTGGTCTCTAGCCCAGCCAGGCGGCGGTGTTCATCGTGCTTCGTGTGCGTGTTGCGAAATAGCACGTAAGAATTGACGCAGGGTCGGCCGCCGGCAAAGGTAGAGATTGCCCCATGACCAACATCGTTGGCAGCAGGGTCAGGACGAGATAGATTGGGCGCAGAACGACGGAACATATTGTCAGTCTGGCGGGGAGTAGGATAGCAAGGAACGTACAATGTGGACTTTGTGGAAGCTGAGGCTTATGAACGCCATCTTGTGGCCCTGGTCGCGTGCAATTGTGTGGCTTTGATGGCTGTTGGTCCTTGCGCTTTAGGCAGTGCCGCGTCTCTGTGGCCACCCCCTTCTTGGTGGTAGCGAACACAAAGGAGTTGCTAAAAATAGTCGATCTGAGACATCTGTCACGGACGCGTGAAGCGTGGCGCGTGAAGCGTGGCGCGTGAGGTCACGGCGATCCTGTCACGTCTGTTGTCGCAGCTCCGTTCGTGAACTTCGTTCTACATAGACGGTAGGGTGCGGTGAATAATTCGTCAGGACTTTGTAACATATGTTAATAACATGGCACGCTCCGAAGCCCTTTTTAACAGGGTTATTAACAGTTAATAACATTTGGTTTGAAACGGGTTAATTACACGTTAAAAAGACATATCAACATTGTCAAAAACACTTGTGCAGTTTAAAAAGCCCGGTAGGCCTCCACTGCACTCTCCGGGAGCTGTTTGACGTGCACTCTGCAAGCTGAAGTACATTAGGGGGTCTTTACAACATGATGTCCCAGTGATATTTGACTTACGGGTATGGTCCTCTACCGGTGCATGGTGGATTCCAGGCTACCGATAGGGGGAGTTTTTAACTCCCAAATTGGCCTTGCCTAGAGGGGTCTGTTGATAACCTGTTATTAACCTGTTATTAACAGCAGTTTATAACAGTGTAAATAATGAGCGACTTTTACACCGCACCCTAATAGACGGTATTGAAGATACGGTACAGCCGCTCGCAGGCAGCAATATTACGAACGATCATGGGGGATTAAGCTGGAGGATGTTAGTCGTTGGCCGCGTTGAGTTCCCTTACGGTGGTGCATTCCTGGGCCCATCGACTTCTCGGACATGTCCTTCCACAGAAGCGCTTAGTGCACACTCGCAGGTATTATGAACTGTTAGGCGCTGATAGGGAGCAACTGTATAGAACCATAGTTGAGCTCCTAAGTAGCATAGGGGTCGGCTGCTCTGAGCTCGTCTTCAATTTCTATTGCTGAGCCTTGAGGTTGGGCTCTCCAATATGAATCAAGATATTCTTACTTTTTCTCATGATACGTATAAACAGGCGCAATTCACTCGACTCTTCTACTGTCCCGCCATTGAATGAACGTTCCGCAATGAGTACTTCTTTAGTGGTCCGGGTGATGATGTTGCGTAAATATCCCAACAATGATCTATTTAACGTGCACCGCGGAGACGTCGCAGCGCCATGGGTCAATCGATGTCGTAGACCACATGCGGTAACTTGAGAGGCAGCAATTCAATCCACGATGCAAGGAGCAGGACGTAACATAGGAGGCTCAAGACCCAGAACGCCATCGAAACGCAGGCAGATGATATACAACACTAAAGGTATATGATAAGGGTATAAACCAATCCTCGGGTAGGGTATACACGTCAACGGCACGGCAAATAACCAGAATAACTTACGCGGGAAGATGACAGAGCTACACCAATAAGTAAAGATAAGGAAGATATAGAGACGGATGAGAAATGTCAAGGGTTACGAGTCGAGCGTGAGCGGGGGGCAGTAGCTCTCACTTTCGCGGCTTCTCGACCTTTAGTAGCGGTAGTGGAAGTAGCAATGCGCTGTGAACGCCTGACGGGAACGTCATGTGCATGCTGGCGTCGAGAGCGTTTCACGGTTGGTTTAGCAGGTGCAGCAGGAGCCTGCTCGTCCGACCTCGGTCTTTTCTGCTGTTTCTGCCCGTTGATCTTGAGCTGATCAAGTCGCGCGGACCTGCGCAGACCCGTCCCATTGGCCTTCTTTTCGAACGGAAGGTTCTCTCCTTTCTGGGATGACATCGGCGAAGGTGCTTTTGCGTCGGCAGAGCCTCCATTGAATGCTGATGCGGCATGCGAGGGCGAAGGTTCGTTTGGTTCGACACGCACCGGGTGCGGGGGCAAAGGCATAGTCCAACTTTCTGCACAACCTTCTAACGCACGTCCAATATCTTTATTCTCCTGGATGTTTGGCCTCTCAATGGGGAAGAATGGTATAGCTTTGTCGCCCACGGGCCAGTCCTCTGAAGCCAGGGCTTGGTTAATCACTGACAGAACATTGTCGTGGGTGAGTCGATCGAGCTCTTCTCGAGGGGCATATCGTCTGGCAAGCTTGTCGGGATAATGACTGTAAACCATCTCGCCTAGCTCCAGGAGACACTTTGTTAGGGGGGCATTCCCCTCTACGACGAAATTGCTAGCCTTTTCCTTGAGAAATGTTTTCTTCCGTTCAGAAGAAACCCCGCCACTGTCGTATAGGGATGTAAGCAGATGATCGGCTCCGACTCTCTTGCGATCCTCTTGAACATATGACACAGTATGCCGTAGCACGACATACAACACAACCCAATAGAACGACTCTAGGTCATTCCATGACGCATGTTGCCCAGGGTCGTCATCGAATCGTTGCATGGAAGTGAACTGGTACGTGCCCTGATAGAGTTGTTAACAAAGTGCAGCCCGATCAGAGAGCAAACTTACAGTGAGATGATTCAACTCCTCTTGTAGATTGTCCATTCCAGTTGCGGCAGCTAGCTCTGGGTCTATGAGGAAGCCCTTCGCGCCACCTTCAGCGTCCACGTCCGCGCTTATCATTATATTGTTAACGCTGATATCTCGATGTAGAACATTCCGGGCACACATAGTCTCGTGACCTGAATATGCACGCCCGTCAGATGCTGATTTGTGTAAGATAATAAGACAGTAGTCTTTATTTACCTTCGATTGCGTCTCTCACGGCTTCCAGGAGGAGGCGCGTAGATGTGAAGCGGGATAACGGTATCCCTACGGAGGAAAGGACGACTCGATGATGAATGAGTTCCTTGAACCTCTTTCCCTTGCTCCGAGCGTTGAGGCGGGACGCTGACGTTCGGTGGACTTCATCATTCTTGTCCTCGACACTGTCATAGTCCATGTAGAGACGTGCCATACCACGGACATGCTCTCCAGGTTTGTAGATCTTGTCGTATATCTCCCCTTCCTTCCACCGATCTTTCTCTCGCCAGGAATCCTTGATAATAACTAGACATTCCTTCCCTCCAGTAGTAGGAGTAGCTTTCGTCGCCAGCCATACACGTGTACCGCGGCCAAAGATGGACTTGCTAGTGAAGACGGGAGGACCCAGGGTCAGGAATGTGTCAAACTTTCTCCTACGTGCGGTTTGCGGCTGTGAAGGTATTTGCATACGGCGACTATCTTTGATCAAGGTGTCGCCGTTTTGTGATGGCTTGTACTCAGGCACGACAAGAAGATCCCGCGCAATTTCGTATTGCCTCACCACCAGGTCTTGTTCTGTGCGGGCCGTAATCGGAGCATCCGCCGTGGCGTCTATCCCGCCGTTAGCGTATCCTGAGAGACCAGCAAGAAAATGGACTAAGTGCTCTGGATGAGCCTTGTAATTGAATCCTTCAGAGACGATGACCGTAGACCGATCCCATCGGAAGAAACGGGCGGTATCGCCGAAGATACCAATCGCGAGTAGGAAGCAGCGAGGAATGCTGCGGAAAGAGATGGCGGCATACTCTTGTATCTGGTTCCAAATCTCTGTCTGCGCCAGTCTCCGTTCCTTACGCTCGTCCATATTATAGAAAGGATCCTCTTCCTTCGTCGCTTTGACTTCGACGAAGGCCAAGCTTCGACCCCAGTAGGATTCCTTCCTGTTTCCTTCGTGTATGACAATGTCCGGTGCTCCTCTCACGCCCCCTGCAGGGTCCAAGGGCCGTAAATCTGCGCATGTGTGGAAGCGAAGTGGCAATGGTCGTGCGCGGACCGCATTTTCTGATATATCTACCAATGAATTGACCTACGTAGCGTTTATCATCGACAGAGCACCTACAGAGAAGACTAACTTACTAGCGGGGTATACATAGGACGCTCGGACCACGAACCACCGGACGTCTGTACTGCCTTTACTTTCTCCAGAAACTTTTGGAAGCGTTTGAGATTTTCGGATGATGCCCTCGGAGGTTTGAACCCTCGGAAACATTCATTTTGCAGAAAGTCGGTGACGATCACTTGTCCCTCGCCGTGAAGGTAGACAGAACCCTCGGCTCCCGCGTGACGACGTTGGGCGTCGTGGTCAGCCTTACCGGATGCATATTGGTGTTTGGATGCATGGGGATGGGATTTGGCACGTTGGCGGGTGGAAGGGCCATGGTGATGTATCGCAGGTGGATTGTTGTATGCGGAAGGATGGACCATCTTGTGAATAGTTGAGGATGCCACACAAGACAGGAAGACGTACGCGACTGAGCAGCGAAATCACACTGAGGAACGACATTTATGGTCGTGTGGCTCGAGCTTCGTTGATATGGTTTGTTTGTACGGGTCAGTGGCCCGTTCGTGGTGGCAGGTAAAGACAAGGAAGTTGCTAAATTTAGCGCACTTCTGGAACCCTTTGTCACGGTCGCGTATCGCGTGAAGTCACCTGTCACACGACCACAATAAACTGCTCTGTAGCGCTCTTCGTGACAAGGGGCGGACACCGGGAGATGCCGAGACCACATGCAGGGGGAGGGGGGGGACTTCGGAGCCCTTAACTGAGATTTATTATCAGTTAAGCGCCCAGAGATCTGGGGTAAGGGGGCTAACGGGTAGCTCTCTGGCACATTATTGGGTACTTTCCAATAACCTACAGTCGTTTGCATATGAAACCGAAAATCGGGTTTCCGTGAGCATTGTTTGTTCGAGCCAAATATACCCATATGTAGTAATGCGAGATGGCTTCTTGTGACTGTGTGACTCTGTAGACTGCAGCCCGCCCTCAGGCTGACAAACTGCATGTGCTGTGTAGTCTGTTTCAGAGCGTCGCTTCATTTCCTCCTCGACTCACGTATAGAACCAGCAAACTCACTCGGTACGCCCGACTCAATCGTCAAAGAAGCAGTAGACGGTGCACCCGTGGTGAGTCTCGACTGCATCGAAACCTGCAGCCATGATGAGCGTTGCTCGAGCAGACGTACGTGGATCGACAACCGGAATATGGCCAAGATGTGATATCGCAGCAGCGATTGCCGAGCTGGTATAGAAACTG